AATTTTGATTTTTATTCTGGACTGAAGTCCAAAAAAATTTCCACCCTTCAAATGTTAATTTTATGTTTAAGTGGATTTCTTCCCTCTTTTCAGGCGTCACGTTCAACATGCGGATCCTGCATGGGCTTGAGCGGATCAGAAGAAATCAGATTGGTCAAGCGCTTATTATAGGAACTGAAGGACACAAGCAACGCCGCGCTGTGATTTGGAAAACAAAAAGCTGACCATTGGGGTTAATCATTCACATGAAGAAGAACAAGTATTTTGAATCAAACGTGAGTGCATGCCTGACCAAGGGGTTGAGTTCCTCTTCAACTGGATGTATGTCATTCAATCAAAAAGTGATGGTTCTTTTGTTAATTTTCTCAAACTTGGAGAGTTTCAGTGAAACAATTTTTTATACCGTCAAATGGTTCATGGCTGCAGATGCGTCCAAATTGCTTCTGTGTGTTTTATCTTTGTTGGTGATTGTGATTTGGGGTTTAATGAAATACATTTATCTTATTCTTTGGGATCTTGACAACAAGATCCCCAGGTGCACCCCACACCTGATTACAGTGTTATTTTATTTCAAATTCCTCGTCCTTTTGTGCCGATTCCGGCACAGGATGTATGTCATTCAATCAAAAAGTGATGGTTCTTTTGTTAATTTTCTCAAACTTGGAGAGTTTCAGTGAAACAATTTTTTATACCGTCAAATGGTTCATGGCTGCAGATGCGTCCAAATTGCTTCTTTGTACTGTATTTGGAATTTCTCCTGTTTCATTTATTTACCTCTCCAAATGCTGTTTGTTTTTGTAAGTGGGGAAAATCACTTGTTGCTTGGGTTTGTGTACGTGAAAAGAAGAAGAAATTATTTCCGAACACAGGGAATCCGCTTCTGCATTGACAAAGTTGAGAATTTTCTGCTGGTCTTCTGTCGGCCAGAATCACAGTAGATGAGCAGACCTTCGATCTGCTCGATTGCGGAATTGCATGTTGTAAGGAATGTCAGAGTGATGTTCCCCTGAAATGAAGTTTATATTGTCCTTGTCCGCAGTTCTGGTAATAATTGTGCAGTTTCTCAACTTACGGCTGTGATTGTTATACACTCCGTGTTTCAAAATCATGGATGAATTACTGAAGGATGATGGAACCTTCAGTGTCAATGGACATGTTCCAAACAAACACTTCAGGAAATGGGTATGTACTGTACAAAAAGGAAAGCTTCCTGTTTTCAATAATATAATCATTGCTTTCTACAGTTACAGAATTGCTTTGAAACACACCTGAAGACAGTCTTTGGACAATACATGGACTGCAAAGGATACTTTGTGGATGAGGAGTATCCATCCTTTCAATCATTGCATATTGGTATTCACCTGCAGCGTTCAAAACTGGAGAATGGGAGCATATTTGCAACAATAAGGGAATCCTTTGAAAGTGTGTCAAAAACTGTTGTTGATGTATAGTATTTGGGGGGGGGGGGGTTGCTTATGTGAACATTTATCTTTTCTCCTGAAATTTTATACAGTTGTACAACTGTTATGAGCTTGAATTGAATAAAATGCAAATACTTTTTTGAATTATGCATTCTTATTTCATCCTAATTTTTGTTGGGAATCAACAGCAATGAATACTGATAACATCTGAGAAAGACAGGAAAACCTGAAGTGAAGGCAAATTGAAAGAAAATTAGAAGCACATACATATACAAATTACCAAAAAATAGATCATCATTGAAAATGAGTACCTATCTGGTTTGGAATATACTGACACACTGTGGTGAAAAATTGGCAAATCTTCCATTTCTTGCTTCAGCCATTGTTATCATCTGTAACTTTATTTTAATGAGGAGTTGCAGCATCATCTTGCTCTTGGACCCATTCATCTTGCTTCTGGAACTACTCTTGATCATCATGCTCCAATGCTGTTCCAAATCATGTGCTTATTCTGTTGGGGTTGCTGTCCATGTTCTGTAAATATTACTGAAGTAATTATTATTACTGTAATTATTAATAATGGAATGTCCAAGTCAGGTGTTCATGTTTTCATGAATGCCAAAGTCAGGTGTTTTGATTTTCATAAAGTCCAAGACATTTGGCATTGATGTTTTTAAGAACACCCAAGTTTGGCATTCTTCTGCAATCAACAACCCTGCACATCTTGGGAATGCCAGGAAAAATCCACTCCCCCAACTAGCTTGGCTTATTTAAAAAAAGCACATCAGGCACAAATAATGCATTTTCTATTTTTTGATGTAAGATCAATTGGTTACATAATGCATCCTGAAATTTACCAAATTATGAGAAGTTCACAAACTTTTGAAGCATATCATCTTTTTCATCACAACAACAAATGTTGATGCTTGTCAATTCATTAATATATCACCAGAATGCATCATTTTGTAAAAATAAATCAACTCTGAAAGAAAACTGCAAATGACAAGTAAAATACTTCACTTGATGTAAAACACTTATAAAAAGAATAAACTGAACAAGGTTTCACAGTGAGAGACAAAATATCAAGAAGTCAGTCCACCCAACCCACCTGATTTTGCGCCTCCCACCATAAGATTTGTTTAGGCAGGATGGACTCTTGAGTGCGCCCTGCCTTTAGGCAGGAGAGACTGTAGAGTCCGTCCTGCCTAGGCAGGGTGGACTCCAGAGTCCAAATTGAGGGTAGAGTACGCCCTGCCTGCCACACCGGCAGAGGAGGGTTACCAGACAACTCACATAGTGACAACTCAGATAGCAACAACTCATATAGCAACAACTCACATAGTACGTGGGATAACTCACACAGTTTTTTTTTTTACTAATTTTTCTTTTTTTTAAATTCAGGTTCTGGCAAAAATGTATACCTTTCTTGTGTCTAGATTTTCTTTATGCTAAATTGATTGTAAACATTTATAATACAATTTTTATAAATTTTTTGTACTTGTGTTTTCACCCTGGTCAAGGATAATTTTGTCCTAAATTAATTGTGTACATTTATCATGTTCTATATTTTCAATACTTTTTTTTCAGCCTAATCAAGGATAATTTCCATTTCCACCAAATGCTTGTCATTGGGGCAGAAAAAATCTTTCAAAGCAACTAAAATGTATTACTGTGGTAATAGGTAAAATGGAGGAAAATTATACTTCAACTCAATAACTCTAAAGCTGGAGCTAACATTTTTCTCCAGTGTTCAAGTCCCTTTTCACTCAACCTTTAGCATTTTGATCTGCAACAAAAATCTGTAAACACTAATTCAGCATCTGAAAATGACATTCAACTGGCCTATCTATTTTTTTAAAGCCCTCCCTACAGCAGCAATGTATTCATATTTCTTTTGTGCATCACATACAATTTTTAAAACCTCCGTTATTTTGTGACATTGTCTTTGTTTAAAAAGGGGGAAAGCAATTTAGACATTTGGAGAGTTTAAAAAATTCATATGGTGTCAAAATTCATGGAAAGCTGCTGCCTGGTCCGAGAAATCAAAAAATACATAAGCCAGGTGGTCAGGGATTTTGATCTTATTTCTCTGCTTCAAATACAATTTCAAAACCTGCATTTTTGTATCATTTTCTTTGATTTTTTGAGAGGGAAAACAATTTTATAATTGGAGAGTTTCAAAATTTTCACAGAGGACAAGTATTCAAACCATAGATCATCCAGGCTTCATGATGAAATCCTGTAGGAAAAAATCCCGCAGCCCAGAAATCCTGTGAAGCTGAAAATCTGGTAGGGCTAAACATCTTGAAGGGTCCAAAAAAGCCCTTGAGCACAAAAATCCCCTGTACTGTGCTAAAAAAATGTAACAATGTCCCTGCAGCTTTTCCTTCCAACTGTCTGGAAAGAATAAAAATCTGATAGATTCAGAAATTGTAAACATGGAAGGGTTTTGATTCCTTCCAAGGATTTGGAAGGTTTAGAAAATACCTTTCACATAAGAATGTACCTCACCTTCACTTTCTCAAGAGTAAAGTGAGGTATTTTTCCATTTGGAGCCTTCATCCCTGCATTTGTTTGGGATATAAACTGTGTAATTTCCCAATGATTTTCAAAGCCCAATTTTTTCTTCTGAAGTGATAATCTTGCATCAATCTGGGTGAAAATTTTGTACAGTTGAAAACTTGTAGAATTTTTATAATTTTTCCAATATTCCCATTCAGCATGCACTGTATATTGAATATTAAGATAGGAAAAAATATATCACTATCAAACCGCATTTAGATTTCTTTTAAAGTTAGACATTATTTACATACCATTGCCTAACTTAGTTTTCAAAAGGAGCTATTTTGGATACAGAACTCATGTTTCCAGATTTTTGGACCATGCAAGATTTTAGGGCATTCTGAATTTTGGGCCACACAGGATTTACTGTTGCGGGATTTTTTCTCCCAGGGATTTTCTCCTACACCCATCATCCACTAAATAATTGTTATGAATAATGCCAATTCCTCCACACAGCTAGCAAGATAAATTCTAAATAATTTCATAAAAATTGTATCACTTGCTATATTTGCCATAAGGGCAGCCATTGCAATTGCCATATCCCCTTCAGTATGTATCCATTTTGAAATAAACAAGCATTTGTAGCTTGAATTTCTGCATCAGCTGAGTTTCCAAGCAAAAATCAGGAGTGCAGTTGATGAAACCAGGCAAGGTTAGGGAATCACTAAAAAACACTATTAGTGAAAACTTTTGCTTGACTTCTGAGACTAATTCTTGCAAACCTGTAAGTTGAACCATTGCCAGATCCAAAGAGCCAAGTGTCATCCAATCCATAAATTGCTCCATCATCACCAAGACCCGCATCCATTGTAAATGCTTGCTTATTGGCCATCAAAAGTTTGATGAGGTACAGAAAACAATAAAGGGCTGTACAGCGCAGATCACCAATTTTTCTGTAATGAGCTATTGCACAACTGAATCAGTGAACTGAACCAGGATTTTGAATTTTTATTAAAAGACAGTTTACAGCAGTGGCGTAGAGTTTTGCTGACAATGAGCTATGCTCTGGCAAATAACTACACCACCCTGATATATCACAAATTTACATTTTTGAAGTGATATAAGTTCAAAAATTTGTCAGTCATGATTAAAAATGTAAACTCTTCTTACCTGATTTTCAAAGAAGTTTATTATTTATTTTTTGCCAATAAATTGTTCAATAAACATTCAAGCTTTTTTCCAAATTTCAAGAGCAAAATGTGTTGGGCATCAAATGCTGCCAGAAGTGTGAAGTTTGGTACATTAAACAATAATGACTGCTAATGAATCATCTAAATGTAACTATTGTGAAATTCGAATTCATGATTTCCACTTCAACCAGCAATCAACTTGTGTTCTGTTCATGCAAATTCCAATATTCTTGCACACCAAAAAGCCCACTGATGTTTTACGCATGTAAACATTTTTCAAATGATCTAAAGGTTGAAGCTGTGGAAAACCTGAGAAAGGTCTCGAATGTTCAAGATTAATCCAGCATAGATTTATGGTACTTTAATGTACCGAATTATTCCGCCACACATCCAGTTGAAGAGGAACTCAACCCCTTGGTCAGGCATGCACTCACGTTTGATTCAAAATACTTGTTCTTCTTCACATAAATGATTAGCCCCAATGGTCAGCTTTTTGTTTTCCAAATCACAGCGCGCTGTGATGCTTGTGTCCTTCAGTTCCTATAATAAGCGCTTGACCAATCTGATTTCTTCTGATCCGCTCTAGCCCATGCAGGATCCGCATGTTGAACGTGACGCCTGAAAAGAGGGAAGAAATCCACTTAAACATAAAATTAACATTTGAAGGGTGGAAATTTTTTTGGACTTCAGTCCAGAATAAAAATCAAAATTGTCCTGCCCCAACATTGGCTTTCAGAGGGACATGGACTATTATCTTAAAACGAGAAAACGCTTCAGCTCAGCTTAAGCCAAATTGATCAGCAATGCACTGAGAACAAGCAGGATGTTGTGAGTTTCCAGCGTCGTTGCACCTCGGTGAACAGCTACATCTGCAGCCATCTCGATTACATTCTCCACATAATCATCCGTCATACTCAAAAGAAGGTCTCCCACTTCTTCATCAAGCTGCTCGTGAGGGTCAACTTCCTTCACCATCATGTCTTACAGTTTCGACCGCAAGATCAACTGAAGGATTTTTCAAATCACAGCCTGAAGCATTAACTTACCTGGCTTATCCATGAAGACGCTCCACAGGAAATAGAATTCGGTGAAGTAGACTCGCTCAGAGCATTTGAGGCTTGAGATGGGGATGCAATCGGGGACTACAAACTGCTAGACGATGGACTCTGACTACAATGACGATTCATTTCACTTGCATTTTTCCCTGCTCGAAAATAAAATTCAGAATACTTGTTCATGAACGAACCGCAGAAAATTCTGCATGAGTGTAATTTCAAAATTTTGTCGCACGTCAGAGCCGCAGGAAACACTGCATAGTTGATTTGAATCCTCATCACAATGGTCAGCCAGCGCAAGGGTCCTTCCAGATATGATCACATATGCTTCAGCATCGAAATAATTAATGATATCAACTTGCAGAACCCAAGGTATTTTCAGATACCATAGGTAAGACATTATTATTTCTTTCAGAGGATTAATGACAAAAATTCGGCACTAATTTGCAAACACAGGAGCCCAAATTCCACGACGCCCAGAAACTCAGGCTAAGCGAACTTCTTGGTGATCTAGTAACAGGTCACAACTGCAGTAAGCAGCATTGCGTAGACTGGTCCGAATGAACTGTAAAAGATGCACTGAGATAAGTCCTGAAATTCTGATCAGTATTTGGAAGAGACCTAAGCAGGCCCTGCGAATCATGTTACAATGAAATATACCAGACAGTGTCTGTAAAGGGGCAGCTCAATTAATTACTGGTTACAGTTCACCACACACGTTCAACTAAATCTAGTGGGAAAAATATCATGAGGTCAGTCCACCCAACCCGCCTGATTTAGCGTCTCCGAACATAAGATTTGTTCAGGCAGGACGGACTCTAGAGTGCGCCCTGCCTTTAGGCAGGAGAGACTCATAGAGTTCGTCCTGCATAGGCAGGGTGGACTCTAGAGTCCAAATTGAGGGTAGAGTACGCCCTGCCTGCCACACCGGCAAGCAAGAAGAACTCCATCTTGTGAATGGGGGAAATGCGCACAGTGACTGATGACTAAACAATTCACACCTAGACTAATGGAAGAATTATTCTAGACCAGTGTAAGTATATAATGAAGCATGCACCAGTGCTGGACCAACCATCATAGTTCACAGCATCTTCAATTACATTCGAGTAAATACTTTAGAATTCACACTTGAATACTTGATCAGCCAGAACTTGAAAGATGGTCGATTTAAGATGAATAAATCACCTGGATAACCAGGAGCATGCCTAGCGTCAAACGGCTACGCCACACTGTACAGTCGAACACCAACCTCTATCACACAAGAATTTGTGGCACATCAGCTGCAACTCACGCCACATTTCAAGAACTTGTGACTCAAAACGTCATCAAATTTTTCTTTCTTTCACATTCCTTCACACTGGAAAGAATAACCTCAAAATAAATTTCAAAAACATCCCGATTAAAACAGTGAAATTAAAATACTGTATTGCAAATGATTCACGTTTCCTTGCATTTTTCGAAAACAACGCTGCTCACAATATTCTTTCAAATGAAAAAGTCCAGCAAAACGAGGTAAAGAAAATGGTTCACATGATTCCTCACAAATCATCAAGTACTTCAATAAACGAAAGATCGAGGTTCCACTTTAACTATGTTCCAAACGAAGTTTTCTGATCGTGGCGACTCCATCCCTCATTCCCTTCCGTATATACATACGGTATATACTCACGAATTTTGGAGAAGAACCCCTCAATGATGTCTCCATGTCTCAAAATACACTGGGATCTCTGCTTAAAAGACGGCAAAAGGTAATTATTCACGTGTAGATACAAACCGAAGCGGTGCGTGATTGTTTCAACTACAGTTAATACGAAATCTCCGCTCGCGTCGTCCTGAACGATGGAGAAAATCATCCACAAATTGGCTTGCTTCGAACAAACCGCTCCAACTTTCATCCCGTTCTCTTCTTTATGAACATCTGAGAAGAATTGTTCAAATGGAGTCAGATGAATACTGCACTCGGAAATGAAAAATGTAAGAGCATACAGTACTGTATATTCAACTTACGTAGACGAACCCGCGTCCCCTCAGTAATACACGCGTATCCGAACTTTTCAAAATAACACGAAATCGTCATTCGACTCGGATTCGTGTTGCACCTTCTCGACCCGGCGTCTGTCGCAGCACGTCTTTCCAATTCCATGTATGTAAGGTCTCCAAGACCATAGTCCAATTTCACAAGAAACGCATGCATGACGGAAATGAAAGCTGCGGAGCGAAATTTTTGACTATAAACTTCTTGAAACTCCGATACTGTTGCCTTTCTCACCCACAGTCGTGGAGCAGAAAAATAGCAGAAAAAGTGCGTGTGACGGTTATACCAAAACAGATGTTCTCTTCTTGAAATACATTATACAATCGTGCAGTTTTACGACGTGCAGGAACAACACATTCACAGCATAGTACCTGTAAAACAGCAACAAACAGCAATTTTACATGACACTCCGAAAAAAAAGGTGAACTCTGGGCCGAAACAAGAGAGAGGCGACCTTTTTTTATTTTCACAATACATATATTGGTGAGTTCGGTTATACCCTCAAATTATTCACGGCTTGAACGTCTCAATACATACCGATGTTCTCTGCAGCAGATACAAAACAAAATAATTTCATGAAACATACATCTCTGGGTCTTCGTTTTTCCAATTCAATTAATTGCTCCCTGTTACCGCTGCCACTCAGCAGATGTTCGGGCCGTATTTTTAAAATGAACTAATTTTGTTAAATGCGGATGAGGCAAATTTGTCAACTATTGCTAACCTTTCGAAGTCTCGAGACAACCGGAATCAAGAATTTGCATTATCATCAAGTAACGGACGTGCGTGTCAAATGTTCGGAAATCATGGTTAACTTTCAAATAGTGTTGGAAAGTTGCCAATTTACACTTATATATGTGGATCAAGTACAATTTGCACATGCACTTGCGTCTTTTTTTTTTTTTGATTCTGCAATGGACTCCCGAGAGAGTCGGCGATCCGCATAATGAAAAATCACGTCGGAACAGATGAGTTCGGTTGCGCTGGGACCCAGTAAAATGATTCACAGCATCTTGAATACTATTCGAAAAAATACTGTAGAATTCGGACTTGATCAGCCAGACACAGGAAGATGGTCCATAAAAGATGACTGAAATCATCAATAACTATAGGAGCACGCCCCACGTTTAGGGGTTACCGGTTACGGCACATGTACACTCGAATCCCCATTTATAGCCAACTCTGTTCCACATGAATTTTGCGGCAAATTTCTCAACAAGGAAAGTACTAGATCGAGGATTGACTACATTACACCCATGCCATGTGAAATCTGGTGATGAATGAGAATGACGTAATTCCGACATAGATGCTATGAGTAAGATAAAAATGAACAGGGCCAAATTCCATGTCAGCTTGCCTCAGAACACGATCTGGGATGACGCATTCTTGCTAGATCTCCAGAAAATTAATATCCAATAGTGGCTCTCTCAGTGAGAACCAACACAGCATTTCCAGTCACTTAAACGCCATCAGGGTTTGAACTTTTTTTTTCTACTTCGTCAGATTGCTTCATAAAGCAGGAAGAACGAACGGAAGAAAAAAGTAACACGGATATCAGAAGGGACTCTTCCGGAAACTCACACTCCACATTTCACGAAATTGCAACTTGAAATGTCAAATTTCACTCATTTTCAAACCCACTGTGGACAAAAGGAATAAAACCTGAAATTGAAAAATATGAGTCAAAACACTGTAGAACTGGCTTCAAAATTATTGCGAGTACTTCAGGCATGAAACAGCTACAGTATTCCTGCATTTTTTTCAAGCAAATTTTACTACAATCCCCACTCAAATAAAAAAGGCCACACAAACATGGTAAACAAATTAATCACAATTTTTCCACATTTTTTCACAACATTCCAACGATAGAGGATCAAGTGAAGAGCCGCAATTCTTCAAATATAAGGCGCACTTCCTACTAATTAAAAACGCGGTCCAAAGATACATCATAATGAGTCTTATACACATTTCATTGCACAAGTGAAACCGCTCGTCGTCATCCCACAACAAAATTCTGTCCAGACAGGCATGACCAAAAATAATTCAAACAAATCTATCCTTTCATCATGATTTCAGTTCAAGGAGAAAGAGTTGGACCCCTGAACTCTTTGGGATGTTTAGATTATTCACAGACAACTGCTTAACCAATGATACATTTACTGTATAACATGAGCAAGTCAGTTTTTTTCTTCAATTAGATTCAGGGAATTTAATAAGTCTGATACAGTATTTAAGAGCAATGCGTC